GTTTCTGCCTGTTAAAAGGAAGTTTTTCCTTCCCTGTGTCGCCTAGTGCTTGCTCTTGGTGGGAATTGTTGGGCTTCTGTAAATAAATTCAGAGTCTGGTCTTTCCTGCTCTGTTTGGAGATATCTGTTATTGTGATGTTGCTCTATATGAATAAAATTGAATTGAATTGCATTAAGATGGGCTAAATTCACCAGCTTTCAACAGTTAAACCCTCGCTGTTGCTGATTTGTGCGAATGCCTGGTGGTCACTCTCTCTAGTACAGCTCAGTGTAATAGGAAATCTGGAGAAAATGAATCTAAATTGTTGACAGAATTTGACGTAACCAGAATAGAGAGTGAGAGCTACTTCCACGGCAACACACATCATTGATTAAGCCGCCATTATTCCACATCTTTCTATGGATTTATGGCTCCACAATGACATCGTATCCCTTTTCCGTAAATCACCCTTCGTCTCAGGGACCTCTCTCTCTCCCTGAGCACCTTTTCCACACGTCCAGGAATGGGCGGGGGTTTGGGGTGGGGGGTGGGGGAGGGGGGGCAGCTGCAGAGAGGCCGTGTGTGTCCCCCGATCCAGCTGTGTGCGTCAGGGCACAGTTCGGCATTCACCTCTGCCGTAAAGCGGGCCTTTCACTTGGCCGTCCCGTCAAAGGGCCGACTGTGCGCGGGGGCAGGGGAGGCGGAGGCCGACACACAGCCGGACATTTACAGACGCGTACAGTAACTCAAACACGTTCCAGCAAGGACATATTTAGGCGTTCGCACCGAAAACCCACATTCACACCTCACCGTTGCCATGCCATTCAGATGGATCTTTCCTTTGTACGCACGCTCAACGTGCAGGATCTAGACTATTTAGAAGATAAATCTAAGTGGAAATGGTGTTTTTGAATAAGCTGTGCCACAATCACAATGTAACCATTCACTTGTGACCAGAAATTAAAATGAAAAATGTTAAGACGAGTTAAAAAATTAGCATGAATATTATGTGGGCATTGAAATAACTCATAGTATACAATTCTTGCCTACTACAACTAACCAAATGACAAAACCGAGCATTTTATTGCATTTATGGCCCAAAAAAAACATATTTTGATGATGCGTTTGAAATAAGAATCAGACTTTAAGGGTTCAGGAACCCGTGTGTGGCAGGAACTGTCAACACGTCATTACAAGAAGATTTCAAGAAGATTGGTTGAATACATTTTCAAATAATTGTGGTACATTTACACTTTTGAGGGTTCTGAGTTGCAGATCAAGTGGCTGTTAGACAGAAAGCCAGTGGACCATAAAAATATTTCAGTTCACTCCTTGAGAAAGAGTGTTTTTACCCACTTTTCTCTGCAAATAATTAGTTACAAGATGTTCCCATTGGGCTGAAAGAGGCTGAACAAATGAAGTTTATTGGTATCTCCTATAGCATGCACCACAGGTGTAAATAAACGGATAAATGCACGTTGCTGAGTTGCTGCCAATGTTGATTCCCAGGAGCTGCAGACCAGAAAGAATGCCCAGTTTGGCAAGTTCAGTTTAGCTCCTTTGCCTCTCTAAAAGCAACCCGTCCAAAATGTGTGCGCATGGCTCTGAGAGCTTTAACCTGTCGCTGTCTGAATATGAAGGACCAGTGTGTCTCTGACGAGCCGTTTCTGTTTTTCTGTTGTCAGGAAGACGACGTGAAAAACCCCCTGAACCGACCGTTTTGTGACCGGCTGAGTTTGCTTCATGTTCTCCCTCTCCATCGACCGGCCGTTTGGACGTTCTTTCGTTCCAAGACAAGCAGACGATGTGGACCGGAGGAGATACTTGGACCTCTGCAAACAGATGAGTCACACGTGAGTGACGGAAACATGAAGTTTGGCCGACCGACGGAAGGGAGGAGAGCTTTTTCGGCCACCTTTGACTCATTCGTTTACGGTGCCGGTGACAAAACGAGCCGCAGAGAGGCGATGACCTCACTCTGAATAAATAACCCTCACTCTGATAAGCAGCCCGCCCTCCTGGCTGGGTAATGGAACGTAATGGCGAGGGGGACTCCTATCACCGAGGCCGGGGTGTGTGAGGTCACATGATCCGTGCTTTCTGAGTGAGTTTGGACGGCTACAGACTGAGATGTTGCGGCGGGGACTGCTGACCTGGGCGTCCCGCCTCGGCGCCGTCCTGGTGCTCCTGTGCTGTTCGCTATCCCTGCTGTACCTCATGAGGTGCAGCCCCCCTCATTCCGACAGCCCCCCGCTGAGCAATGTGCTGCCCCACGCCGGGTCCAGCCACCCCAGCCTCGGAGGCCCAGGGACGGGGGTTGGAAATGGGCCGGGTGGGCCGGGAATAGCCGGGGGATCCCAGAGCGGGGGCCAAACCGGGGTCCACCCTTACCAGGTGCTCCTCCAGGAGCGCGAGGACCAGCACCACCGCTACATCTCCTCCCTAAAGAGGGAGATCGCGCAGCTGAAGGAGGACCTGCAGGAGCGCAGCCAGCAGCTGAAGAGCGTCCAGGAGACCCTGAGAAGATCCGGTTCCCCCGGGGAGGCCCAGTCAAACCGAGGAGGAGCAGACGTCCAGGGCGCCAGGAGCCAGCAGAACGATCTCCAGGAGTTCCTGAAGGGCCAGCTGGCCAAGGCGGAGGTGGGCACTGGCGCCCGGCTGCCCAGCGAGTACGCGGTGGTGCCCTTCGAGAGCTTCACCCTGCAGAGGCTCTACCAGCTGGAGACGGGGCTGACGCGCCACCCCGAGGAGAAGCCCGTGAGGAAGGACAAGAGGGACGAGCTGGGGGAGGTGCTGGAGGCGGCCCTGCACAGCCTCAACGCGCCCTCCTCCCAGCCGGAGCGGCCGGGGGAGAACGCCGGGACGGGAAAAGTCTACAAACCATCGGACTTCGTGGAAGGTGAGAAACCAGCCGGACTCTGAGATTCTTATTCCAGCTCGTGCTGACGTTTCTGGGGGACCTGTTGCGTGATGAGGAAGAGGGAAGGCGTAAAGTTCATTTTCAGCCTCTATCACTTTGTGACAACTTTAGCTAATGAAAGCCCATCGTAACCAGGGCTGCAGACAGTTTTGAAGCCCACCCGTTTACACTTGTGCTAAATTAACCCTATAATGCCAAATGTATCATATTTGATCCATACGGTTTTTGAAGTCTTTTGGATCTGAGACTTTTTGCATCATTCAGTGGTAAAAGCTTTGCTCAAAGCCCTGTTGTACACATTCAGATATACCTGATAACAGCCAGTAGAAGACTACACCAAAATATATTTTTGACTTATTGCACGCTAATTTGATCAAAAATTATTTTATTTTTTTCTTCATATGTTGTTGAGGGGCCAAAGAAAGACTTCAGACTAAAAAAAATCCAATATTCTTCCTATTTTTCTAGGATTTTCTTTAAAGGGTTAAGAGCATTTTCTCTGCTTTATCTGGTCGTCTTTCCGGGTTTTTTGGTGGAATTGTGCGACTTTGCATTGCAAGTTTGTCTCCAGCCCATAACCCTCCACACCTGTAAGCCCTCTCCCATCCATGGTGGAGGGATGGCGGGTAGAGCTTTGCATACCGATGAGATGTAGAATTTGTTTTTGTGGATTATGTTTCTGCAGTTTTTCATTAGACATGGCAAATTAACTTAATTAAAATCAGATTCCCCCTAATCTCTGAGGGCCTTTGTTACTGAGGTAAAGTCTTACACGGCTCTGGGTGAAAAACGGTGGACTTAGAGCTCAGGTCTTTACTCTGCGTGGCTCGTCGGTGGAGATAATCCACACCGCGGTGTAGAGGCTTAACCTCTGCCGTAGAGTCACAGTTCAGCTGCGAAACCAGTAAAGATGTTTATGAGTTCAAAGTGGGACGAGCAGCGAGAATAATTCAGGTTCTGCAAAAGGCAAATGACAGATTTCCTTTCCGGGAAAATGGGCCGAATGTGCAAAAAGCGAGAAGACAGATTGAGCTGAAAAGTGTCATTTGATTGATATATTATTCTGTTTTACATTTCTGCACTAAGTACAGAGCGTTCAGTTGTTTATGCAGAAACAAACCTCTTCTGGGTCTGAAAGGGAACGACGTGCATCAGGAGGATAAAAAGGTTTGCCTCTCAGACTTTTTCCTAACTTCTGTTATTTAGCTCTTTGGACACATTATTTAAGACTGAGCCGTCTGAGATGTTTATGTGGAAGAATGAGGGATGTTTCCTTGGCTGAAGTGCTATCAGCTAGCAGATACATGAAATATAAATCACAAGAACAGACCGAAATGATTCAGAACAAGCAGGAAACTTTTAAAAATGCAAGTACAAATAATATTATCAACAGATATGTTTTCAAATGATGGTTTGATTCGCATTTACATAATGCCTTAATCAGAAAACGCAGTGCTTTTTCTTCCTTGTATAACAGATTTTTTTTTTAAATAACTGTGTCCATGGAGGGTCAGAAACACGAGCATGTTTTTTGAAACTGCTCCTGCCAGGATATCCTCCTGGTTTGTTCTGTGGAGCTCAGATCAAAACTCAGGAAATGAACACAGCTGCTGCACACTCACAGAGCTGCATCTCCTCAGACGTGGTAGTTCTGTGAGTGTGTGTGTGTGTCTCTGTGTGTTTGTGTGTGTGTGTGTGTGTGTG